GGTTTTGTTTCCTTGCAGCATCTTTTGTTGTCGATGTTTTCAACATATCACGAGATTCGTTTCAGTATGACAAAAATGCTAAAAAACCTCAATATTCGCCCTAATGTTAAGTAATTAGATCTTGATGCAAAATTAAATTCCTTTACCTGGTAACCTATCAGCATCACAATCGTCCTCATTAACCCAGTACCATATTACCCCAGGATCCATCATACCCCCATATCGTGTCCAATACGCTGGGTAGTAAGGTGGACTCATATCAGTTCCCCAAATAATAGACCCTGCTGGATATGAAGTGGAACTGTCAGAAGTTGTTAAGAGAGCTTTTTGACCAGTTCCTTTGGCATCAAACCAAGGCATTCTGTTTTGGAGGCTTTGCCACCAAGAGAATTCCCAGTTATTAAACTTCTGCAGCAGATGGACGTTGGTCTGGGTGTTTGACGTAGCCATGAAACTGAAAAAGGCGAGAATGATGATTAAGCAGCAACCTTTTTTCGTAACAATTAAGTTATTAAAATGGCGTTTGAAAAGATTTCTAATTTGCGGATTTTCTTGAATCTTTGAGGATAAACCACGCTCTTATAAAGTACGTAAACTGCACGCCATTTATTAGTGAAGATTATATATTATAGTATGCAGTGTCAAACTCTGTACAAAATTGCTGATATTCTCGACGAGGACGAGAATAGACAACAATGGCAACGTACCAAGCGCAATACAACAAGAGCAAATAGTAGCACAGCTGTAAAATGTTTTTACAAAATAATRTTTGTTCATGACATCATCTACATCCTAAATTCGATTTCTTCCCGTCTTTGCACATGGTAAAAACTTTGCGTTCTCTAGAAGATTATAGCATACAATGAAAAAGATAGCTTCCAGTATTTGTTATCAATATATAACCCTTGAAGTAATTAAGATAGAACAGCACTTAATGTGATTTTATCAGAAAATAATATACCTGTATTGCTTTMGWGCACTCCAGACTCCTCCCCAGTGCCCTCTTGTCTTCGCTTCAAGTTTAAACTTAAAAGTAGCATTGTTACTCAGGTCTCTGATCCTGTCAGCGTACTTGAGTATGGAATAGTCGTCATTGATGGATGGTTGATAGATATTCCTATAGCAGTATATATTAGTATCACAGCATTGATTAGGAAAAATATAGGAATGGAAAACAACATTTGTTTGAACAAAATACATAAAATAGATGCAGGCCGATTGCACAAACTAGATTCAAAAGTCAAATTGGGCTCATTGCAWAAGAGCTTAAAAATTTGATTTAGGAGCGCCCATACTCGTRATGATACATGACAAAAAAATCTCMATGATCGTGAAAAACGCACAATGGCAAGACAAGAACAGACCGCACCTTAAAAAGGAAAAGGAAAAKGGCGTTGGTTGCTAATCGTRCACGCCTGTGTGTGTGCCACGAAGTGCCTTATCACATTTTACATACACTTACACATAGGTATCCTGCCGGGTAGGCGCTTCCTTTACTAGAAACGTCGACTGATCGCGGAGCACAGCAGATATAAATAGTTTCATATTTTTACTGAGGGAAATAAAAAAACAGAAAAGACCCGGAAAAACCCTCAA